GCGGTTCCTCCTGCAGTGATGCAACTGCCCCAATTTCTCCGGCCAGCAAACCCCAATCACTTGTGCCCCCCCCACCAGCCCCTATCCAGAGCGATGCTCCTGAGCCCGTCCTGGACCACCAGGCATCAGCCGCGCTTGGCTGCAGAGGCTGTAAGGCCGGGGGTGGGGGGGAGGCAGTGTGCCTGAACACAACAGGACACAGTGGGAAGGGAGCTGCAAGGCTGGCACAATAGCAACTCTTTTCAGAAAAAAGCGTGCTGTGCCATCCGAGGAGGCGCCCGCACCCGCCGCCCGCGTTCATTGCCCGTCTCCGGCGATGCTTTATGTTCTTTCCTTCTACAAAAAAGCAACTTGGCCTAGATTTTCGCTTGGCGCTGTTCAGGAAGCGGGCAGTCGGGCAAAGGAGAGGAGGAGAGTGGCTTGCTTTTAATTACTGAAATTGCCTCTTTGTGTGTGACCTTTATTATCCTCCCTCTTTCAATCAGGAGGATGAGGAGGAGGAAGAGGAGAAGGAGGATCACACACCCAAGGATGTGTGTGAGATGCGTCGTCGCACTTTGCAAACTCCAAAGAGGAAAGCAACAGGTGGAGGAAGAATTTCATCTGAGCCGTGCTGTTTCCTGCTTGTGTGCACGGCGGGCTTGTTCCTTTTTCCTTCGGGGACCTCAGTTCTTTCACAAAATGAGTGGCAAAACCCTTGTCGACTTCAGTGGGAAGGCAAGGCAGCGCTTTCCCTGCTGACATAGGGGTGTGTGGGGGGGGGGGCTGGTGGAAAGCCAAAGTCACTGCAGTCAGTGGGGTCAGAGTCAAATGTCTGTTTACCAAGACATGCTTCAAAGGCAGACATAGGCACCCCAAAGGTCTGGCTCGGAAATAAACCGTTAATCAAATCTGTCTCATCAGCGCTACGGTTCAGAGATTTTTTAAGGCCCACACAGCAGTTTGGGCAAACTCCACCTTGGCTCATCTTGCCTCTTTAAAATGCACCCCCCCCCAACAAAACTATTATTGGATTCACTTTGGGGTTTTCACCTATTGGGCTTCCACTCCTTGTAATAATACAATCATCTTATTATAAATGCACAGCACGGGGTCACAGTGGAATCGGGCACCCTAACTCGGCTCAGGTTAAGAAAAAAAGTTGATCTGGGTTCCTCTCCATTAAATGATTTCATTTCCAAATAACTCAGCTAATCTCAATGGAGCTTTTCTTTCTTTTTCTCTACTTTTCTGAGATTTCTGCTGTTGGTTCTCCTCCTCCTCATTTAAGAAACTATAAACCTTGCTAGAGATTGTCTTTTTGCTTTTATCCCGTGTTGCCATTCAGAGCCTGAACTGCTTTTGATTCAAGCCAACTCTCTGTGCTGCATTTACAGAGAAAACAACGATCAATTTAGACCTTTTAAGCACACTAGAAAAACAGGACAAGCTCCCTTTTCTGATCACCATGACGGGGAATCGCTGGCAGACGTCCCCTCCCATCCTCGGAGCACACTGTCCTTGACAATAATAAGAAAATTGGGGGGTTTTTTGGTAGTTATTTTTTTTTTATGGGGTAGGGTGACCTTGCCTTCTTCCAAATGGCCCTGCGACTCTTGAAGCGGCAGAAGAAGCCGAAGCTGACAAAGAACCTCAATTTCTCATCCTATTTATTCCGTTATCGATGTAAAAGGAAAAGCATCCGAGCCTCAACCTGCTTGGAATTTGGGAGTAATCAGGCGGAGAAAAACTGAACAATTCAACAATGCATCAAGATCTTTTGTGCGAGGGTAGATTTTTGAACTCGCCACTCTCCCAAGCTCTAGCCATGGCTTCCCTTTTGCTTTTGTTCATCCCCCTAAATCAGTGGTTCTCAACCTTTTTAATGCCGCGATCCCCAACCGATTGTAAGTCGAGGACTAAATCGGTTGTAAGTCGAGGACTAAACCGGTTGTAAGTCAAGGACTAAACCGGTCGTAAGTCGAGGACTAAACCGGTCGTAAGTCGAGGACTACCCAACCGGTCGTAAGTCGAGGACTTTCCCTGCCCGGGAGCGCCG